TGGATACGTTGTAGAGATCACGATTGGGTGGCGGAGGGTTTGGATCCTTAATGCGTGTGCTTTTTGCATTTTTCCGAAAGTGGTCTCTATGATGTCCAAAGCTATTTTGCATAACTCTTGTGCCTTATAATGTCGTGGCGTAGTGTTCCTGAACTGGTGGACGATTGCGAACGATTTCATCGAAATCACTTCTGGTTGAAGAGATTGTCATACGAGCCGAGAACTTCCAGCAGGTGCAAATGTATTTTGTTTATGGTCCTTTCCCGTTAATTACTATAGAGAAAACCAGCACATGCTTTAGAACTGCTTAAAAAACGACTAGTAAGTCGTGCTAATGCTTAAGTTAAGCGGAGTGTGTCACTATTAGATACCCTGTAGGCGATATTGATCAGATTGTTGTACTATAGATATACATAGTTAGGTGCTCAAATAAACATCAGTAAACGTACAGGCATATGTAGCAGTTTCCGTCCATTTTTCCACCTCCTGAATGCGTCATCGCAACGTCCTCGCCTTCCTGAAAGCAGCTCGAGTTGCACGAAAAACAACATTAGACGTTGCTCGTTTCAAAGAATTCATTTTCCCCCTTCCTCCTGTGTTAACTTTTTTCGGGACATATCTCACACTGGTGATACATAATCCTTTGAAGTGCAAACGAAGCAATTGCATAGTTTCACGGAAGTTGTCGTGTCACCTCGAAGGGCATCAATAGTGATCGACGGGATTTTAGCAAGATGCTATTGTTATACGAAACACGCCAAACACTACAAGTTATCGTATGATGAGGAATGTTCAGCTCAGTACTTGGAAATGCGGAACTTGTTGTGTATTTTCAGGAGCTGACTCAACACTTCCTCGGAGTTTTGTACACCAGCGCTGCCGCGAAGTGATTATGCTCATTGTCAGAGCAATGACTGCAATGACTTCACTTTTCCCCTCTCTTCCAGTGAGTACATCTGCAGATAAGAGGAAAAAAGTACTAGGTGGGGAGAAAACCTGCTGACACTCATAAAAATTTTCTTTGGCGAAAAAAAATTTAAGCGACTTCAAATGTTTCTATGTGTGGTTAGTGAAGAGTACTCTCTGAGGCTTCGGTAGAGGTAATGTTATGGCTTCGTGGATGCTTAAAGACAACCCCGACGCTCAAGTGATTCATGGTGGATTTCCTCTGCAAGTAGTTCAGCTCTAAAGCTAAAATGGTTTCCCACTCTCCCGACTCTACAGCGAGCGACGGAGCGTGCCACAGCCTCAGAAAGTTCTAGTTTGACGTCCGCTCAATTAGAACGCCTACTTGCTAGATGCCCTCTGACGGAGGATCGTTCAGTTGTTCTTTGTTAGGGCGGCGGGCATTAATCACTATTGCATATCATTTTTGCTGACGCCGCTGCGTGCCGCTATATAAATTCTGGCTCTGCTTCGCTCACATTTTTATTCATAAGGAGCAGCATACAAGTCAGAGTGTGCGCGAGGAGATCTCGCAAAAGAAAAGTGCGAAACCACCCACCCACCTCTTCCCACACAGTGCTAACGCTGCTCTGAAAGCAGCTTGTAATGGTTAAAGACGCTACAGTTCCTGCTGAGGTAGCAAATTTGTTTGCTGTTTGCGTGTTTGCTTTTCCCGGTTCGTTTGCTGATGTGCCAGCAATCGTATGAATTTCGGCCGCTTGTTTAGTCTACTCTAAAAATTACTTGCACTCTGACTGAAGGAGAAAAAACGTACGTGCCGGGGAACACCTTGCCGCTTATGCCGAAATCGGCTAGCTAGAACACCATTGCCGCTGACCAATATGTTCGCCGGCTTCACGTCCCGTTGAACAATTCGTTTGCTGTGGCAATACCTTAGGGCGCTCGCCGTCTGCTATATGAACTGAAAAATAGTGCTTAAGACGCTCGAGTCAGTAGCGAAGAGATGACTCCATCAATCAAATCAGTTTCCTACCAGAGATGACGTGAACTCTTCTACCTCTCCAGTGATCGCACCATAAAGAAAAATGCACTGAGCAGTAGCGGCCGGAGAGCATTCAAGAAGGAGTTTGAACAACTTGATCGGAGCGTGCTCTGAGTAATTAGTTGCAGCGAGAAGTAACACTAAAGTGATAGAGCTAAAAAAGATGCCTAACAAATTCCACATGGAATAAGAGAGTAAGTGCAGCTACCGGAGGTGGCTTTGAATCAAGATTTCGATTCCCAGCTCATCCATCATCTCCTGTTTGGCGCTCTTGTAAACAGCCTGGGGAAGAAACGTGTAGCTTCTTCGAGTTAATTTTAGCTCAATCTTTGACTGAAGGAAGAGCCTTGCATGCCGTTTCCTAACAGGCGTTCAATGGGAAAGTCGGCGTATTTGCCGCTCAAAAACAAAACTGATATTGCCAGTTTACCAAAGTTTTCCGAATTACAAAAAAATATGTTGAACATACTACATGAAATGTTGGCACAACATCACTCAGAAATCTAGAGAGGTCGAACGTGTTCCGTCAAAGTATGCTTTGCGAATGGACTGGCAATGTAAGAAAACAGCTAGTAGATCCAGGCTACGTTATTAACACCGTTATCACTAGCGTAATATCCCTATGCCATGCTTTATAAAACATTTAATCAGAAGCCTCCTTATAGAATATTGATACAAAGTGAGATCTGGGATCTATTTTTAAAAAAATGAACACTCAATCACCATTCCTATGAAATAGAACTAGGAAAGAAGAAAGAACCAATGAAAGTAAACACATAAGTGAAGACTAGGCTGAAAATACAAAACGACCGAAAAGAAAAACTTATCGTGAAACTTCTAATGAAAGGATCTCACAACAAAAAAGGAGCGCAATCATGCTGTTCTGCATGATTAGCAACCGTACAACAAAAGGGTACTTGGGTAGCGAGTGGAGCTGTGCTTGCCACGTGGTCGCACGTGCGTCAACGGACGTTGGCCTGTGTGTTGGCGAGATGTGTTCATTGCTTTCGTTTGTTTGCTTTACTTGCTGAAACATGTTGAGTAATGGTCGAGTTAAGCTTGGTTATTCCGCCACACAGTATTTAATTAGGTTGTTGTGATTATACGAAGAAAATCAAGCACTGCTAACAATTCAGCTGCTTGATTTTTCTCGTAATAATCAAACAATATAAATAAATACTGTGTGGCGGAATAACCGAGCTTAACTCGACCATTACTCAACTTGTTCTGCAAGTAAAGCAAACAAACGAACAGAATGAAACACAGCCTACGCAAGCACACACAGCAACGTGTCGACGCCACGTGGACCCACGTCGGCAAGCACGCTCACTCGCTATCCAAGTACCTTTTTTTGTACGGTTGCATCATGCAGAACAGCATGATGACATCCTTTCTTGGTCTGGAGATCCTTTTATTAGGAGTTTCGCGATAAGTTTTTCTTTTCGGTCGTTTTGTATTTTTGTATTTTCAGCCTAGTCTTCACATATGTGTTTACTTTCATTTGTTCTTCTTCTTTCCTAGTTCTATTTCATAGGAATGGTGATTGAGTGTTCATTTTTTAAAATAGATCCCAGATCTCACTTTGTATCAATATTCTATAAGGAGGCTTCTGATTGAATGTTTTATTTAAAAAGCAATAGGATATTACGCTAGTGATAAGGGTGTTAATAAGTAGCCTGGATCTACTAGTTGTTTTCTTACATTTTCAGTCCATTTGTAAAGCATACTTTAACGAACACGTCGCTCCCCTAGATTTCTGAGTGTGTTGTCCCACATTTCATGTGCTGTTCAATATATTTTTTTTGTAATTTGGAAAACTTTGGTAGATTGGCAATATCAGTTTTGTTGCGAGCGGCAAATACGCCGACTTTCCCATTAGACGCCTGTTGGGAGACGGCATGCAGGGCACTTTCTTCCAATCAAAGATTGAGCTAAAATTAACTCGAAAAAGCTACACGTTTCTTCCCCAGGCTGTTTACAAGAGCGCCAAACAAGAGATGATAGATGAGCTGGGAATCGAAATCTTGATTCAAAGCCACCTCCGGTAGCTGCACTTACTCTCTTATTCCATGT